TGATTTTAAGTAATATATAATTGACACATGCAAAAAAATATCCTTACTGAAACTAGATGTCTGACTGTGGTATACATGAGCAAATTCTAATAGGTTAGAATTCATGTTGAATTGATATCTTTTTTTTTTTTTTTTTGTGGTAAGTCAGTGTGTAATAAAAAAAAAGCATTAACAATTTTTAGACCTAAGGCTTTATGTGGATACCAGGAATCCATTATTTACTCTTTATTTTTTCAATCTGCTTATATATGACCTATACAAAAGAAAGCAAGGTAAATAATGGGCATCTCCTGGGTTCAGATTTAATTGGAGATTTTAAGAAAAGTGCTGAGCTGACAAATGAATACATCTCTTCCTAGCAGCTAGGGAGGGTACCACTATGATGGACAAGAAAATGGCACTCGTGATGTCTTGAATGCAGCTCACTGTCCTAAACACTTATTTTAAAGCAATTTTAAACCTTACGAGAAGATATTTAAGAGACAGAAGTGTTGAAGTTGGCTAGGATTAGTGTTTGGCAGATTTTAAGGTCATGGTTTTAGTATTTTTCATATCAAAATGCTTCTATTATTCAGTGTCCACCTTCTCTGACATCGTTAATTATTGGAGGTATGACTAATTTGTGTTAGAGTGATGAAGAGAAAGAACGTAAGATAGCAAACGTATTTCTTTAGGATATTCTGAAGAGGGCCTTTCTGAAAGTATTCACAATAATAGGCTCACTAACTTCCTAGCACGGATACAGATATATGTACATTTTCGGGGCATGGAACTTTGGTCTGATTTCTCCGCAAGTTCAAGTCTCAACCCAGAGGTGGGGAAAGGAGAGATTTGGAATAATCTTCAAAACAGACTCCATACAGATGGTCATGCCTGACTAGGAAATAGCTACTAACTTTTACTACTGTTAGCTCAAGCTCTTGACTGGGGTATTCTTTGTGTTTTCCTGTATCTATGATGGAACACAAGCCAAGCTGGAGCATCCAGGATTGTAGTCATTTATCCTTTTGGTTATTTTTTCGACAACTGTAATAGGTCGATCTAATATATTCATATTTGTCTACTGTTCTTCATGATAGAGTCTGAGCACATGTGACATTGGGAGAGGGTGTTTTTCAGGAAAACAAAGATCATAATGAGCAAAATCAATAGCTATCTACCCCAGGACATCTTCATTATGGGTGTACTACTGAAGACATGTCTGTTTAGTCAAAACTGATAGAAATGGAAGAGCAGGAAGAGGTTATAGGAAGAAGGATATATGGGGGGGGGAGGGAAGGTGAGAGAAGAGAGACAGAGAGACAGAGAGAGAGACAGAGATGGGGGTAGAGATAAATACTATAGGTAACATTCTGTAGAGACGCTCAGAAACTTTAACATATCAATCAGCCAACTACATCTGCCTAGGGTATACATATTTTTCCTCTTAAAAATTTGGTCTTGCTTTCTCTTTTCTGTTTCAAAGCTAAGAATGTTAGACTAATAATTAAGTTTAAGTTAATGTGTGCTTTGAAAGACCCTGGATGTAGCATCTAACCTCATATTTCATACCTGGTAGGCTTATTATACAGTTTATGATTCAGAGATTAAAAAATAATACCGAAAAGAAATATATTAAGGTTGTTAATACATTGGGCTGTAATTATTTTCAAAGAAATCAATAGAGAAGAGGCACCTGCTCTGAAGTATATAAATGAAAAAGAGAATGGTTTTCTATTCAGGTCGTGCGTCTATGTTGTATGTGTATGTTTCTCTGCTCTTTCTTTATGAGATAGTCCAATAATCTGAGAAAACTTCTGAGTATTCTTTGTGAAAGAGTAAGACCTATATTTTACAATAGCCACACCGAAACAAAACTCCAAGAAGAAAAGGTATAGATGGAACTTTTTATCATCGCACACCTTATTTTTTTTTAACTCTTCTTTTCTTTTCAGTTTAATGATGTGCCAATTCAGTTTTCTTCTCATTACCTTAAATAACTGGCCAGAAAGCAGGGTTCTATTAACCAGGACAAGAGTTTGGCCAAAGCCATGGTAGAAAGTTTTTTTTTTTTCCAACCCTTTATAACTTCCATAACAGCATTTCACATTAAATGGACACCCAAAGCTTAAGGTCCAGAATGGACAAAGGAGTAATAATATACATTTTTCTATTTATTTATTTTAGCTTTATCTCACACATCTACACTCATACCAAGGACATGATTTTTTGCATTCTGATTGTGTGCTTCCAGAACCAAGTAGACATTGCCATTCATAGGACAAAACAGTAACTTTTTCCCTAGCTCATATTTTAACCAATTCCTACCTGCCTATCATGGATCATTCAAGAGAATTCTCCAGTCACAGTTTAAAAATCTGACTGGAAAAAAGAAAGGTCAAAAGATTTTTTTGAAATGATCACTGAGTTTAAAATATGTCGCCATCAATTAGCCACCGCTATTTACGTCTCTCCCAAGAACAAAAAGAAATGGCTCCAACGACTTGACTTTCTTTGCTCGGGTTTAATATCCATGGATCTTGCTATCTTCGCTTTTAGAAGAGTTTAGCCTTTTATTCTAATGATTCACAATAGAAAAGGCAGTGACACCTGGGGTACATATGTTTTTCTAAGACATTTGAAACTCTTTCGCTTGGGAAAGGACTGTGTAAACGTTTGGGTCTGGTCAATTTAATATAGATATTTTTAAACAGTAGGACTAATGGCAATATAACACCTTTTCGTTTGGAAAGATTCTTTTGGAAGAGATGGAAAGATTAAGTGTGTAAGAAGAAACCCTGGATTTTTCAGATTTTGCTGAATATATAGCAGTATCCTTATTGTTTTCAGTGAAACTATGAACAGGAGAATGTGTAATAAAACTGCACAATTTGACAGATTTAGACAGCTGGCTCCCTCACCAGAAGTTCACATTTTGTTAATGTCACCCACGTTGAATAAGGGACGATTAGATGGTAAGGTCCATTTACAAAAATGGTTGTCAGGACATTTTTTTTTTTAATTGTAAAACTTTCTGTGATGGAATTCAGTAAAAGGGCTATGAAGAGAAAGCAAAGGAGACAAAAGACTGCTATTAACCTCCAGATGCGGGCTACTGCAGGTTCATTGCAAGATTTGTCACACTCTTGGGCCAATGAAGTGTTAGTGTGACTAGAAGGGACCACCCCTTTTCTGGGGTAAGAGGGCAATTTGGTCTCCATGCTCATTTAATCCTGAGACTTCTTTGAATAGACTGTCAATTGAATCTAAATTGTGCAAAATTATGCATGCACTTTTTAATGCAGGCTATTGTTCACTAAGCACTGAACCAAGATTTCTCAACCCATTTCCATTTGGCATGAGGTCACTTGAAACTTAAGCAATCATATATGGAAGACAAGAGCAGTGTACTTAACCAACCTTTCTACATAAATGCTCACTGTGCTTTAATTGCAAACCTCTCACTTTAAAACAATAGAGAAATACTAGTTACCCGATTTTATTCTTTTTAATTGAGGTTCATATTCCCAAAGGTAAGGAGTGGGTTTGGACAGTCAGCCTGTGCTCATATTCTATACTAGTCTACAATTTAGATTCTGGAAGAACAGATGTTTACAGAAGGACAACCCATAGCGGGTGTGTGCACGTCACGATAGATGCTTTCTCAGTAGTGCAAAGAGGCCTTATGATTTTGTTACAATCCAAATGTGGAGAGCTGGCCTCAAAAACCAGTAAGAAAAATGTCTATCAGACTTTTTGCAGTTTTAAATTAGATCATGGCATTTCTTTAAAAACCTGAACAGAACATTTATAGAAATTTATTCATACATTAACCAAAGAGGATTTTCACTGAGGTCTTAAAAGGAACATATACATTAAAACTCATATTTGGCAAGAATTAGTATTTTAAGCTTACATAGCCAAGATTTGTTAGAAACGAGTGAGCTCTTCTCCAGTGAGTTTCATTCAGTGTGAAATCTGCAACGTTCTAATCACATATACTCTGACAGTCTTGCTATGGTGAAAAGCACTTTACATATGTTTAATGCTGGAATTTTATAAGGATTGGCTGTTTTCTTGCTTTTTCATCCGTCGTTAATGATTACATGTTGGCACAGGGGCACATTGCTAGATTAGATCCACAGCACATTAAAGACTGTTTGCTTTCTCACTCCCCTTCTTTCCAATTAAGTTGGTGAAAAATGTAACTTTAGTATTTTACAGGACAGGGCAAAGATGTTTCATCTAGGTGATGTCTATATTATAAAAATAAAATAAAAAATATAAATAGGTAACACAAACCCAGTGCCTATTGTTAGATACAATATATAATAAAAGCAGACCTTTTAGGAAGATTGATTTCAGAATATGCCGTTATGATTTAATTATAAAACGCTTGAAAACAATCTTGAGATTAAACTAGAGTAACCGGATTTCTCTGCCAATAAGAAGGTAAGTGGGTAACATTCTGTAATTGGATACATTGATACAAATGAAGATTACAATTTTATATCGTCGCCCATTAAAAATTCATCAGGGAGTTCTGAAACATTCTCTCACATTATAATCCTTTAATATAAAAATATTGCCTTTTTTATTAGATCCATCAGATTGCACAGTAATGTTTCAAAACTCCATTAAAGTTGACTTTAGCTATTACAGACAGAAAATTCCTGGGAAGTCAGATAATCTCTTTTGGTGACATAAAAATTCCGTTATCAATTTACAATGGAACTTCTGTGTAAATTACCCCACACAAGGAAATATATATATTTAAAACCCATCTGTTATGCAACCACGCGTATAGAGGTTGTGAGTGTGTGTGTGTGTGTGTATGTGCATATGTGAACAAACGTGCCAACATACACACACAGGATCTGCACATTTCTGGAAATTATTTTTAAATTAATAAAAGAAAATGAAATCACAGGAAGTGTGTAGCAGGAGAACAGTCTTTCTTTTTAATGACAGGATAAAAAATAAATGCCCATTGGAAAGGAAGATTCAAACAGTCCCAGAAACTATACAATGTAACTTGTTAGATCCAGCAAATAAGATGTCATGTCAATGATCTGATCAAGAATACCTGCCCTGGTCACTCTGCGGATGTTTCTGTCCACTTGTTCACACTGAGGACCAAGATAGCCTTTTTTACAGAGGCACTTGTTCGGTCGCACACAGACACCTCCATGACGACACGCTGGCTCACATTTTGCTGGCAGGAAAAGAAAAAGCAACAAAATCACACTCTCATTCTGCATGTCAGAAACAGCATCGAGTAACGAGGCCAACAAATATCTGATGAGTAAGGGAAAGGAGGGGAAGAAGGAGGTAGCCAGTCAAACAGTGATCCAAAAGATAGTAAATAACAAGAAGGAAAGAAGGTTTCCAGTCCAGACCCACAGTTATGTGGGAGCCAGGACTCAGTAGAGAATGGGAGACATTTCCAGGGAAGCGGAGATCACGGGAAACCATTTCAAGCCCTTGCAGAACTGACTCTATTTAAAACGAGGATTTTAGTTCTTCAAATATGTCTGCTCCATGAGGGCATTTCCAACAGAGGGCCTTCCAAGTAACTCCATGTTCCCATTTCTCCAGGGCAGGGCCTTAATGTGGGAAGGGCCTGGCCTGAGAGGGAGACGCGGCAGCTTCAGCATCTCCAGGGCAACATACAGGAAGGGTCAGTTCTCAGTTTTGGTCAGATGGAACAGCTCCCTTAGATTCCTCCTGCCTTTAGCTCCGAGGGGGTGCACAGCATCACTTCATCTCTGATTACACTTTGTGGCCCCTTCTGGGGCAGTGCAGCGGGCCAATCCTTTTCAGGGTGGCTCTCCACACAGAATCTCTTCATAAAAGGATTTTTACCACCACAATATAGGTGGGAAATGTAAAGATTTACTGCTAAAATGAGATGGAGAGATAAAATTGGTTTTAGAAGTTGTCTTTTACTGATGGGATAAATGTGGGCTGTGCAGCCACCGAAGACAGAAACAAATTCCTTGAACACGTGTCTTCATACTTTCAAGGGACAGGGTTATTTTAACCTTTTCAAATGCATTAATCAAAACCCAGGGGTCTGTGGTTGACAAATGGAAAAGAAACAACAAGAGAATAATGAGATGATTTTCTTTTTTACATTTGTGGTTGATGAACTATGTTAGTATATGAATAAAGTTCTTGCTTAGGTCAAAAATATCATGAATAGATTACTTTTATAAAATGGTTCTGATCTTATATATTCAAACTATTTAAACTGATAAGTGGAAAGACTAAAGTACTTTACTGAAATAAAACTTCATGTTATCTCAAAGAATGTCAATTTTCATTTACATCACTTATTATTATCATTATTTATAATGGTATGTATAATGCACCTATATTTAAAATAATTTGTTTACCCTCAGTTTAAACATACTGTTGCTAGAAGGCACTCAATAAATATTTGTTATCTGATAACTTGAGGTGACTTACGAGGTCAGGCAAAATCCAAAGTAAGGAATAAAACAGAATGGACACTATATAAAAGAAGCAGAGAGAATAGGTATTGTCAGGCATTAAAGGGGGCAGAATGAAGATACATTATCAGGAATTAGAATATCTGTGCATTTGAACACTGATCCTCATTTTTTGTCAACTAAGGAAAAAGAAGACAGAATGGGTAAATAAAATGTAAGCAGCTATTTTAACTAATGTAATTACCTAATTTCTGTAGACTTTTAATTATAACTCTCTCCTAGATATATAACCATGGTATTAATCAACCAGGTAGTGTTATTAGTGCTGAATCAATTTAAACTTAAATTGTACACTGCGTATGTGACTGTAAATGTGGCCTACGTTTTGTTAGACAATATATAGAGAAGTTACGGTTGAAATTTTTGGAACAAATATGTTTTTCAAATAAAGAAAAAATAACATTTACACATTAACTATAATATTAAGTATGAATTTGTAACACATTTTCATTGGCAAGAGAGGCTTTAAGATTTGAAATATTTGTAAGTAATATGTATATGCTGGTTGTTGAAAACGCATTAAAAATGCATTTGTCCTTATGGAAATCTCCTCCAGTTTTACTGGGAAGTAATTGACATGTCTCACTGTAAAAGTTTCAGGTATACAGCAGGATGGCTTGGTTTACATATATTGCAAAATGATTTCCCACAATAGATTCAGCTAACATCCATCATCACATATAGATAACATAAAAAGAAAAAAAAATTCTCCCGAAAATGGATTTTCACCACATACATCCTAGACGCTAGGTATCTGAATCTATCTAATTTTCTTCACACCAAGTAGAATTTAAACATCATTGCATGTAATTGAGGAAATCCCTGGTTAAAGGATAGGGTAACCGTGGAATAAATCTCTTCTGCTGTCTCTGAGCAGCTGCATACCTAGTTGATGGTTCACAAGGGAGTGGCAAAAAGAATTAAAAAATCTCATAATGTGCCCCTAGATAATTGCGTTTTCTCCTTTTTATTTAATAACACCCACTGAAAAACCCTGTTTTTAGTGCACTGTAGCAAGAAGGCAGGCAGTAAAGTTAGGGAGGGCATTTATGGGGTGTCTGGAAAATGCTGGCACTTGGAGAGGGGCTTTGCAAACACTAGGTCATTGGCTGGTGTGAAATCTCAAACCTGGGACTGAGAGCCTGTACAGATGATCTAGTTGTGCTGTTTTCATTTTTCACCATTTGAAAGGACTCAGTTATTTCAGAGTCTTTTACATTTATGATTAACTTATATATGTGAATTGTTTACATTAAGAGAATGGGAAAGATTTCATTTGCAAGTTCAGAAACAGACTGAGCATTCACATTATAAACGGCTAAATTCTGAGCCGTAGATAATTCTAGAAGACATAGCTGATGGTAAGTTCTTGAGTTCCTAAGGACTGCCCCGTGCCCAGCCTTTCCTGGGCACAACAGATATACTGACCAATTCTGCAGAAGTGCCCTTCCCATCCTGGGGTGCAGCAACACTTGCCCGTAGGGGTACAGTAGCCGTTCCGACAGAGCCGGGAGCATTCCGAAGTCAATGTCTGTGCAGGCTGTACCGTGGCTCTGCACTCCTCGGGCATCAGAGGTCTGTGTCAAAAGACAATGGATCAAAGTGTATTTGGGCTGAAAACCAGTATCAGGATGAAATCCCGCGAATTTGTAGCTTGCAAAGCATTTCTTTTTCTTTCTTTTAAGTGGGTCAGAAAGATGGACAACTTTTCTGAGAATACAAAATACATGCCAATGAAGAAACAACCTAACCAGTTCTGGACCAGAGAACATCATAATGAACATTACAAGAAATTTTGTCATGATGGGGCGCCTGGGTGGCGCAGTCGGTTAAGCGTCCGACTTCAGCCAGGTCACGATCTCGCGGTCCGGGAGTTCCAGCCCCGCGTCGGGCTCTGTGCTGACAGCTCAGAGCCTGGAGCCTGTTTCCGATTCTGTGTCTCCCTCTCTCTCTGACCCTCCCCCGTTCATGCTTTGTCTCTCTCTGTCCCAAAAATAAATAAACGTTGAAAAAAAAAATTAAAAAAAAAAAAAAAAGAAATTTTGTCATGATCAAAATTCACTGATTAAAAATATAATTATATTGTATTGGTGTTTTCTATTTGGTAGCTAAACATTTCTAGCGATTAAAATTCTTAAAATAAAGACACATAGTTTAAAACTCCCCCCCCCCCTCCGGTTTACAAAAATGTTTAGGAATAATATCTGAGATAGGTTTCACTTGTTATTGGCATATTTGGCAATATCACAGGGGTGAAGGCATTCATCTAAATGGCCACTTGCAGCCCAAAAAAGCTTGGGAATCATTTTTTGTTTAATTTACATTTCTCTTGAAATACCTTTCTCAGACTGATTTTTCTCGAAGGGATATCGTGTGTGTGTGTGTGTGTACGACTGACTCAAATTTTCAACCCTTTATGCAAAAAATAAACCATATATATATAGATAGATAGATATAGATATATAGATATATAGATACATTTTCAGATCTTTTATTTTGTCCTGCTCTGAAGAAAAATAATGCTATTAGCAGCAAACAGAAACATCGTATCTGCTAAGTAAAAAGTCACAGACTTTGTTTTAATTGCTCTACAACTGCCATCACTTAGAGATGCCTTCAAAAGAAGATGTCTGTGGTTCTTACTGGTTCTGAAATAAGAGGCTGTCATTCAAGTCGGGCTAGAAGCATGGTCACAAGTGCTCATCACCTAATGTAGGAGAAACAGTGCACAGTGGGATTCCTCTATCAGTCACTGTTGCCTGGGTCACAGTGTGGGGAGCAAGTGCGTTCCAAAAGTTCAGGAATGTAAACAAACACTCAGCACTACTCAGATCACCACCATTAGGATGGCCAAAGCAGTTGGACTCCTTAAGGACCATAACAAAGAAGGTGATAATTATAGGTCAAAGCCACCAGAAGAAGTAAATGATAAAGCCTTCTAAGAGAAGCACATAATTAGGCCCTGTTGACTCCTTTTTCTTGAGACAGGTGATCTTGTTCTGTCCCTCTGGCAGTGAAAATACTTTGGGGCCTGACCTCCGGCTGTGTCTACAATGACTCAAACCATATTCAAAATACATAGTGGCATCTTTCGCTTCTCTCTCCAATAAAAGTCCCACTCTATGTTGAAAGTACTGAGTTTTGCAACTAATGTGACAATTCAGAAAGCTCCCTTAACCTCTTATTTAAATCTAGAAATGTCAATTTATGTGAAAGGTCCTCAAGGCATTCCATGAGCTGGGCCTATTATCAGTCCGACAACGTGAATAATTTCCATGTGTTCCCCAAGGAAGGGAGTCTTTCTGGGAGAGAGGGCAAGGTGCGATGAGGTGGAGAAAAAATGAAATGGTTATGCCAAGGGAAGTGGGGGCATTACTTTCACCTTCCTGTTTTGTTGTTGAATACCCCAAGTCGGATCTATTTCTTTCTCAATAAAATTCTTGGGGCAGGTGGGTGGCTCAGTCAGTTAAGCATCAGACTCTTGATTGCGGCTCAGGTCATGATCTCACGGGTTTATGACACTGAGCCCCAAGTCAGGCTCTGTGCTGAAAGCAAGAAGCCTGCTTGGGGTTCTCTCTCTTCTTCTCTCTGTCCCTCCTTCTCTCTCAAAATAAATAAATAAACTTTAAAATAAAACTCTTACTTTGTGAAACAATGGTGGCATTTTCGATCACTAGAAGAGCTGTTTTTCAACAGCCATGAAGTTCTTCTGAGTCACAGGCATTCAATAAACAGGTATTGTTCAAATTTTACTGGTAACCGAATTCTGTTTATCTAATTTCTACTGATTACTCACTCATTCACCCTCTTTCTGACTCATTCAAGAAAAAAAGACTCAGAAGTAGGGTATGTCAGGGACACCTGGGTGGCTCAGTTGGTTGAGTGTCTGACTTCAGTTCAGATCATGATCTCACAATTCTTGAGTTCAAGCCCATGCCAGCACAGAGCCCACTTTGGATCCTCTGTCTCCCTCTCTCTCTCTGCCCGTCCCCCACTCATGTGCGCACACGCGCTCTCTCTCACTCTCTGTCTGTCTCTCAAAAATAAATATTAAAAAAGTAGAGTGTGTCAAAAATATATCACACATTATATATGATGCAAAATATGCAGGCATGTAGCTCCTACACTCCTTGACAATATGGTTTATGTCTGAGCAGATGAATTTAAAGAGGAAGAAAGAGGACACTGGGGTGGCTGGGTGGCTCAGTCAGCTAAGCATCCAACTATGGCTCAGGTCATGATCTCGAGGTTCATGAGTTTGAGCCTTGTGGGGGACTCTCTGTTGTCAGCACAGAGCCTGCTTCGGATCCTCTGTCTCCCTCTCTCTCTCTGCCCTTCCTTGCTCTCTCTCTCTCTCATAAATACACGTTAAAAAAAATAAAGAGAAGAGGACACCATTTACATCAAGAATATAAGTGACCAGTTAAACAACAGCCGCCAGAAGATGTTGCCCATTTCAGTCAAAGTGTTAAGCACTGATTCTGTGTATACTGGGAAGAGGAATGAGGATGTGACAAAGGAGGACTGGGAATGAAACACAATTCTTCAGGGCAGAGCATCCGCTTACTGTTTCCCTGCTGATCCTCCAATTAGATGCTTTGACTATTTTTCACCATTCAAATATGTGGAAACTCAGATAGGTAGGGGGATTCTAAGTTGGTTTTTGCCAAAGATTTAGTAAATGCTTATCTTTCTGTGGATGTAATTATTTCATACGTGGGCTTGTTTGCTTTAGCTAATCTGAGACTAAGGCTGTCATATATAAACATGATTCCCTTAAGTTTTTATTTAAATATCTAGGAAAATAATCTTTTTTTTTCTTTTATGAAGTGGCCAACTAACATTCCTCACTTAGCATGTTAAATAAATGCTCTCTCTCTCTTTAAATTGTTATTCTGTTGGGGATCTTTTAATTGAAAATTTACATGATGGATAGCCTATCTCTTATAGAACTTGACTTAATGAATGGGTTCTCCTATCTCCTTTTCCATCCCCATTGAAATGAAAGCTTTCTGAATGCAAAAGTGACATATTCAACCCTCTTCAACACCAGTCACTCCCTCAGACAAGACTGTGCTCTTCATGGGGATAAGACATAAATAAAACTGGGTTACAGTCCTCATGGAGACACCAAGGGGAAGAGAGACATTCAAACAAGTATACAAGTATACACACAAGTATACAAGTATAATGCAGTGTGACCTTTGTTATGTTATAGGTGCATATAAAGCCACACAGGAACACAGACAAGGAAGCAATTAGTTTAGGATTGAGGGATGTTTTAGAAAGATGATATTCAAGCCACCAAAGTATGTTATCTCCTTCAACTACTTATATAGTTATAAGTATATAACTTATATAAGTATATAAGTATATAACTTCAACTAGTTATATAGGAAAACACTACAGAGGCATTCAATAAGTGTTTATTGAATGCATATAGTAGAAATTTTCTCAAATGCTTTTTCTGGAATATAAATTCCATGAAGACAAATGTTTCCCTCTCTTCTTTTTGTCTCTCCAGGATCTAGAGAAATGTAAAGCACATGGAAGATTCTTAAAAATCTGTTGAATGAATGAACAAATAAGAATATGGAATTTTAAGAGAGTGTTTATTTTCTGTGCTACTGAGTAAAGACATTAGGAATATATGGGCTATTTAGGGGAGGGGTATCATTTAAATCTGTTATACTTTTATATCATAAGCTTAAAACTAAGAAACACTTGCTATATTTCTCTGCATTGCCTAAATTAACTCAAATCTTACAAAATTTTTCTAAGGCATGGTTACATTCATTTTAAAAGAAACATTTTTACACTAATTATAATCATAGTAAATAAACAACAGACCATAAAGTAAGCATGACATAAAGAAATATGATTGCTTATTTCCTCCAGCTGGGAATTAAGCCAATGTATTAAAATTCATTTTTCTGGTTATGTATCTGGTAAAGTGTGACAGAGAGTTTTGGTCATCCCAATCATCCCCTCCACTCACTCTTTGTTCTACTAACATTTCTTTTTTCCATTGAAAAGAATAGGGTTCCTTTACATGGAATGAAGAGAAAACAAAAGGAATAAAACAAGTAAATTTGAATTTTGTTATTCACCTTGAAATAGACTATCATATGTTTACATGAATACTACATATACCCAACTAGATGGCATCTAAACAAAATTCTAGAGTACATAGCTGTGATAGATTGCTTCATTTTTCATTCTTATTCTTACTGGACTGGAAACTTGGGTGTTTTAATGTAGGTGTACTAAGAATTGCTTAAATAGTTTTGTTCTTCTTTTAAACAATTACTTTTTGGGGCACCTGGGTGGCGCAGTCAGTTAAGCGTCCGACTTCAGCCAGGTCACGATCTTGCGGTCCGTGAGTTCGAGCCCCGCGTCAGGCTCTGGGCTGATGGCTTGGAGCCTGGAGCCTGTTTCCGATTCTGTGTCTCCCTCTCTCTGCCCCTCCCCCGTTCATGCTCTGTCTCTGTCTGTCCCATAAATAAATAAAAACGTTGAAAAAAAAATTTAAAAAAAACAAAAAAACAAAAAAAAAAACAATTACTTTTTTTAACTT